AACCAGGTGGTTTCTTCTTGGATACCGACTCCAGCTTTGGAACTCATAGTTTGGAACTGAAGGAGGGGTTGCTGCTTTTTATTTCTCCACGTTGCAAAAGAGAAGCCATGCATAGCGAGAAAGTATCAAAAAGTTGTCAATTCTAATGTAATGACAGACCATGTCAATCCGACAGGCGTTTCGTGGATTTAGCACAGTGTCACATAAGCACCCATAAAATCTGACACCTTCCCGCAACTCGAACCGCGCCTCTGATCTGCTCGTCTGAGGATTGCATCTGGCAATTCTTCCACTGTCGTTTCCATGGCATCCAGGACAAGTTGCAATGGCAACGCGGTGCTGAAGCAAAAAAATGCAGGCACACCAGGGCGGCAGAAGGCCGAATAGGCAACCCAGCCGACTCTGATTCCGTGAAGCCGCGATCAAAAGAAGGAAAACGAAAACCGGGAAATTAATTGGGAAAACAATTGTCAATTCAACACTCTGCATAGCAATTGGTGTCAGCTCCCTACGTATCTGCTTATATAATCAGCTCTGGGTGCATCCAACCTGAATTCACAAAACAAACGCATGACAGCGTATTGCTTGTACTTCAAGGGAGGTAAGCTAACCGTTCCAGTGTGACAGATTTCGAGGTGTCGAGGTGAACATCCAAAGTCTGAAGGGCATCCATCAAACTTTAGAGTCACTGCTTACTCAATGTCTATATTAGTCTATATTACTTACTATATCACCTGACATAGAAAAGACGTTGACACAGGGCCACCACATGAATCAGAGAACTGCGGTCGTCAACTGATCACACTCTCGAACCTGCAACAGTCAAACACGCGCCGCTCTTTTAGCAGCAGCCAGTTGAGTTACCGTGACTTTCATCAAACATGTCTCAGACATGTGTCAGCTAGACTGATCGAATCCTATGGCTACAAAAACCGTTGAATGGAATGAAAAACATTGAATTTGATTTTCTCTCTCTCTCTTTCTTTATCCCAGAATTCAGCTTTTGTCTGACGTGTCTGACACTTACCTGAAAAACTCAAGCGACTCAAGCACCCTGCCATTGACATGCGAACCACATGGTCGTTCTGTGAGCAGCCTGGCGGCGGAAAAGTCGGGAGATGCTGGGTTGCTGGACCCTTCGAAGTGAGACCCTCAATAGGCCATTGGGATTCCTTGCAGCTCATACAAAGGGAAATGGGGCGCCAATTTTTGTGCTTCCATTAGACCCGGTACTCGACTAGAATCTTTCACATGAGGCTATGGCGGCTATTGAGGCTGTCCGTGCACAGTCCCTTATCACCAGCTCGAGGTTTTGTTCGGAAGCATTCTATACTTGTAATCAAACAAATTGGTACAAGACCAGAGTAGTCTGTGATACTCGGCAGGCGAACGGCTTTGCCAATTGCCCACTTCGAGTAGCCGCCCGAATTCCTTTACATTCACTTGCGCCTACGCAAGCCAAGCAGACACATCTCTTTCGGTGTAAGCAAAGCCCTTCCTCTCCAGCCATGCCACCTCGGCCTTCTGGGAATTTCCAAGGCCTTCGGATGCCTGAAGGAGCTTGCGATCCTCCTCGGAGAGCGAAGCCAAGAAGAGCCGATGAACCTCCCTTGAATACTGAGAAGAACCGTCTGAACGAGGCTCTTTCCAAAGGCATTCAATGCCACGATCAATGGCTTGAAACTCTGAAGACTTCAGGAACTGTTTCAACTTGCCTTGAATGGCTTCTCGCCTCAGGTGCTCTTTGCCAGCCATCGAGAAATTCTCAACTTTGCCTTTTCCCACCATCCCTGCAAAGAAATAGACTTCCAATTCGGCACCTTGTCGAACAGCTTCCTCGATGTTGTTCATCCACTTGGTCCACCAGCGGCACCCCCAGCGCTTCTGCTCCCCATAGACGGGAATGCACCAGCAGCTGCCCTCAAGGTTTTCCTCCTCTGGGATTGGGTCATGGCAGCCGAAATGTTCAGAGCCTTCTGGCAGAAAGACCACAGCGGCGCTGACATTGCCTTTGCGGCTTCCTGTGACCAGGACATCCCAAGCAGATTCGTACTTCCCAGGCCATGAGGAAACACATGGGCCCTTACCCTCAAGGATGGAGCCGTGGAAGACAATGGTGCGTTCGGCGACGCTTTGCTTGTCATCATCCTCTTCACGCTTGATGTTTTCCTCCAGGGATGTACGAGAAAAGTAGAGGCCCATCAAGCCGGAAATGCAACAACACGGCAGCCCAGCAGACAGCCCTGCCCACCAGTATCCTGCAAATATGTAACGAGCAATGGCAGCAGCCGCTCCAAGCGCTGCCAGGAAGAAGAATGCAGAGCCAGCATGAAAGGCAAGCCACTTCAAAAGACCACTGTTGAAGCGCGCACCAAAAATCTGAAAATTGCTACCACAAAGCCCCAAACAGCAAAGCAGCACGACCACTGCCGAGCTCAGGCCCACAGAAGAGACCGGACCCTGAGGCTCAACAACGATGCAAAGTGCGAGAAGTCCGATGCCGAGCAACGTGCACAAAACAATGAATGGAAAGTACCAAAGGACGTGCTCACGTCTTTCTATTGCAAGTTCCTTTTCCATCTGCTTCTTTCGGTCAAGCAGCAGGCACCGCTCCCTTTGAACCTGCTTCTTCTCGTTTTCCAGGAAATGCCTGGCTTCAACACCGAAATACCCAAAGGACTTCGATGCATGCAGTGTCAAGGCACCACTTACTTGACAGCTGCCAGAGATCTTGGGATTGTCGCGCAAACAAATCTGCATGACAGAGTCTCGAGTTACAGCGGTACGAAATTTGTGGTATCTTTTCGGGTAAAGAACCTTCGCCTCTTCAGCGAATTTAATTTCGAGTGCTGCTGGCAAGTCGTTTGCAACCACGACCGTGCAAACTTTGCCGCCAGGATCTACGGGCCCTTTCGATTTTTTTTAATCTTTAGCATCTGTAGCATCATGCACGAGGACACTGTGGACACTTCCAGGCAAGTTCACAGGCACTTCGAAGCTTGTAGGCCCTGTAGGCACTTCCAAGTTTCCTGTTTCTGGATGCACTTTCGTAGGCGATTCGGGCACTGAAGGGCACTCCCATGCCTCCTCGCTATGCATGGTTCCTAAAACCTACTCTGCTGTGAACCTACATATGACCGTGCAGAATAGTTGGGTGGTTCAAATCCTCAGGGGATCAGAGGTTTACTGCAAACTTGCAACCAGTTATAACAGTTATATAACATGTTATAACCAGTTCAACAATACTTTTGTGGACCTGATGCACGGGCTCACAAAGTCTCCTTAAGAGAACATGCTTGAGCCCCTGCAGAGTCAAGCGGCCAGCGGCCCGCAATGGCCCGCAAGAACCCACCTTGCCAAGACCGCTCAGTTCTCAAGAAGCCACCAAATTCACCAAGCAGAGGTGGAACTTTGGAACACGTTGAAGGTACAGGTGAAAAGCATGAAAAGCATGTGAAACATGTTCCATGGGGAAACGTCCTGTGAATTCCCTCCTACAACAAGAACACCAACAAATTACGGTCAACATCTATAACTATAACGTCTGATGTCATCTGATGTCTATATAATGTTTACCGGAAATGAGACCACTTGCGAGTCTAAGGCGCAGAACTCATTCAACTTCACGCATCTGAAGGGTTTGAGCTGAATTTCCCCAAACAAAACTCATCAAAAACTCAAATTTTCTCCAATCTTCTCGAACATATGTCCGATTCTGATAATCCATCGATATCCGATGCATCTGATGCACTTCTTGGTGCGGCTTTCAGCTTCTCAGGGCGCGCCTTGCGCACCAACGATGAGATTGTACTGCTTCCCATGTACCGCATAGCAATGACAAATTCCATGAAGTTATCTTTTTCTATCAGTGATATAAATGAGATGTATATACTGTGCACGGTAGACACAACCTCATTGTATGTAGGGCTGGAAATCTGTTGGTGGCATGTGTGTATGTCTATGTGACGAAGCATATCTACAGGTGGCAAGTGCGTAAAGTTGCCGCAGAGATTGCAAATCTATTGTAATTCAATCAAATCCTGGCCCACTGTCGGCAAACATCTGAGGGTATAGCTTTATGGTCCAAATGTCTCGAGTCATAAGCAAGCAGAATTCATGGCTGAATTGCACTACAATTACCACATGATACATCATGATACCATGGATTCATTGCTACTGTTGATTGTCTGTATATGTCCAAACTGCTCTTGCCTTTACCATGCTTAAACCATCTGCACCACATTGGCAGGGTACCTTACAGGCATTAAGTGCGGTTGCCAAGCAAAGGGGTCAAAAAGTGCCTCGATGTGCTGTTAATCGCAACACTTTGCGATCTCTATCCTGGATTCTGCTTCCTTACTGCTAGGTCAACATGGAGGCGTATTGCAACGGAGCGCTGAAGCAAAAAAATACGCAGGCACACCAGGAAGAGGGCAGGGAGTCCAATAGGTGGCCAGCAAATGAAATGGAAGTAAGTGAAGAGATAGTTCGATGTCATAGGTGCTCAAAACCCAACACCTTACTCTGATTCCATTAAGTAGCAAATAAAAATGAAAAACAGAGGCCGTGAAAAAACCAGTCGAAGCGTGACTCTGTGAAGCAATTAGCGTCAAAATTCAGTTCCTTGCATATCTGATTGACCGGCTGATCTTGGTTCTTGCATGATGTTTGATTGATGTCATAAGTTTGGAACAAGCCATGCTGAAGGTTTGAGGGCGCATGCAAATTGAATCCACAATGCAAATGCATAAAACCCAAAAGAACTTAGACTTAGACCATTTGGCCCCAAAACGACGCAAGATCGGGGCACTGCTTCGTACTTCAAAAAAGGAACGCCTATATCCTGTTTTCAAACTGCGTATGGATCTGCAGCACCCCCTCACTCAAGATCTACGAAATGCAGATTGAGACCGGTCCCCATGTTATCATGGGAAATCATACAGCTTCACCCATGTCCCATGTAATGATGTCTTCAGCTTCCTCTCGGACTGCTGCACTTCTTTTGCGGCCAGCTGCCTTCACTATCAATGCGTATCCATGGGGTGAATATATCACTTAGATCGTCTTAGATCCAAAGAATCCCTTGGTCAGAAGCTGTTGAATGGAATGTAGAACATCAAACATCGTCTCTCGAGTCCACACTTCCTTTTTAGTTGGCCAGTTGCCACTTGAGTCACTCAAACTCTTTGCTGGGGCCAATTCCTTTTGACAAGCAGACCAAACAGCCATGAAGAGCCCATGGCGCTCAACAAAAGTCCGGACGAGCCGTTCGCCTTGGTCCAGCCAAAGGCGCAGCCGATCCGACAAGAGAGGCCGGCGCAGCCTCAAACCATGGCGCCTGGAGGAGGCTGCAATCCTGCACAACTCAAATGGCTCACATGGCTCGGCTCAAACACGTCAGAAACATTCCTTGTGAATCCACTCTCTTACGGTACTTACGCCATCTTACGCCTATCTTTATGATACTCAAAAAATGTCAAAAATGCAAAGCATCGCAGTGCCGCCCAGAATCTTTAAGCATTTCGCAGGTATTGCCTTGCCATCATCACCAAGTGCCGCACACTCTCCAAAGCTCTTCTGGTAACAACTGCGTGGGTCTAGCAGGCCCTCTGAACACGAAGCCGTCCAATTCACCAAGCGATGGAAAGCTGGCGATTCCGCCTTTGTTTGCTGGCTGAGTTCAAAACGGACATGATGAAAAATGCTGGCAGCTGCACCTAGGAGATTGCAAGCGTCAGTGTCCATCAGCAAATGCTGGGTCGATTGTCGTATTCCTTCGAAGTCCCAGGGTCGTTTTTGGACCAAGGAGACCTTAGTGCCCTCCACCAGTAAGTTGCATCGAAGAAGTGGCATCCGCATGGGTCGAATTTCTTCATAAGTTTCCATATCCAAGTGCTCCACGACCTGCGGAACCATAGCCAGCTCTTTCCCCACGATGGACATGAGCCCAAACAGGGGCCAACCAGACTCCAAAATCTCCTGGAAGCTGCTGATGTGCCATGCCCTGCTGAGGGGAAGCCGAAAGTGAAACTCTTCAGCAAGGGCTTCAGATTCTTTCACCAAATCGCTGCGGCGAATCGTTTGCAAGGTCACCTCGCCATGCTAAACACGAGAGGTGAAATGTCGCTAGAACTTTTTTCCCCCTCTGTTGAGACCTGGGAAGCTGTTGAGGGTTCCTGATGGCCTATGTATGAAAAGTGGTTTCTAGGCACCCATAGGAATTGGTCGATTTGTCTTAAGCCACCTATTTCAAAAAGAAAATATTATACACATCTATATAGGAAGTTTGGGTCAGATTTCGTTGTCACTCCGGGTACTATAATATAAGAACATTGAAAAACATTACAAACTATAGCGGTTTCGAATGGTTTCCAAATAGTTCAACCATGCACCAGATGCAAAACACTGGTATCAAAACATATCAAAACGGTCAACATGGGCCGACACCGTCCAGTTCATCTCCCGGGCACAGCCAGTCGCTCAGTCCAAAAGAAGACGGTTTGTTGGCCAAGTTCGATGAACATATGCCGCGTATCAGTCTCAGGGTTATTAGTCCGATCCCGCAGTAAAGAAAATGCGAGCCCAAGAGTCAGCATGCCCATAGGACACTGATCATCCCAGTCTCGCAAATCCCCGTTCGACCAATAATGGAAGAGAATCTCCACATCAGGCCCGAGATCAAGTGCACTAATGCTGACGGACTCATCTGGCACAGCCTGCTTCAACACTTGTAGCAGGTCTTCCAAAGCAGTTCGAACACCTCCCCAGCCTTTCCTGGGTGATTTGGGAAGGGTCTGCAATTGGACTGGCAACGAACAGCTGGGGTCAGGGTGGAAACCTCTTTGCCGCACCCAGACCTCATCCACTGAGATGCGCTCCATAAAGCGAAAACCGTTTCGTGTCAGCAGATTCGACAGTCGTCTGTACATCACTTGGGGGAGAGCATTGTCAACCTCAATACTCATCACATCGACTTGATGCTTTTGGAAATCAAAATGTCTCAAGATTTCGAGTTCAGAACCCTCCACATCCAAAGATAGGTAATCAATTTTAGATCCTAGATGGCCCAAGTGAATATCTATTAATTTGCTCAATGACTCGCACATCATTAAAGACCTTTCTTTGGCACTGGTCATGAGTCGATGTTTGCTGGTTGTGCCGCTGTTCAGACCAGAGTCGACAAAATCCTTTTGGGTGGCACCGGCCGCTACGCAAGTTTGAACACATTTTGCCTTGGGGCGATTCTGCCGGAGTTGTTGATACAGACTTGGTGAAGGCTCGATCAACAGCCCAGTCCAGCCAAGTTTTTGCTCGAACGCTAAAGTGTTGCTCTTGTCCACACCATCTCCGGCGCCAAGTTCAATGAACACACCTTGGCGGCGGTTTTCACCTGCAAGGTGAGAGTACCATTCATTAGAAGCATGTTCGCTGTATAGCCACCGCATGATTTTTCGATCTTGTCCATACTGAGAATGCCAACCCGAGAGCCAGTCGATGGTGAAATTGTCTCCGGTCAAAGTTGTAGCCAAAGCGTAGCCAGTACCAGCTATCCAGCCCCACACATGTTTCACATTCATGACAACGGCAATGCAATTTTCAGAAAAACAAATGACATGTGTTGCGAGTGTTGCCAGTGTTTTTCAAATCCAAACAGCTGCAAATTTGGAAAAACTGAGTGGTGCCGTGCAAAAACCGAATTGATTTTATATTGAATATTGGTGTTTGAGCCAGGGTTTCAATACTATCAGGCATCCTGCACATCAAATTTTTGCACGTCCTAAAGGATCTGGTATCCACGAAGAGGCTCATGGACCCGTTATTTCCAGATCTAGGTTCGTCAGCCCTGCTGCATTCAGCACAGGTTCGAAACCATAATGTCCTTGGAAAATTAAAGTGGCCAGGTTGGCATACCACTCAACATCATGTCATGCCTGTTGGTTGCGAAGGATGGGGGGGTTCCCCTATCGATCAACCAACCTGTGGGAAAAGGACATCTATGATTTCAAATTCGTCCGTGTGTTCTTGTGCGTGTTTTATTTTGAAAACTGCACGGCACCAACCAATTTGAATGATTGCGACGCAATGGGTTGGAGTTCCGGCATGGATTGTTTACGTTTTTGCTGGACGGCCGTGGGTTCTAGCACTGAAGTTACCCCGTCCCATGGCAAAATGAATTGCCTGACTGAAGTTGCTAACCCTGTTGCCACAGCATTTCCACAGGGTACCTTTTTGAGGTTTCATACTTCTGGACTGCATACGTGCCAGGGCGCTTTGGTATTGCAGGTGATGCTTCGAAATACGCGACCACTATTCGCACACAATCATTCAGCGGGACAAGGGGTTTGGGTCCAAAGTTTCAAACGATAGCGTCCTATGTTTGTGGCATGTTTCGCTGCGATGTTTTTCATGGAACATGTTGCCAAACTGTTGTCTGTCCTATTGGCACACCAGCAAAAAAGAAAAAAAGTAACTCAAGAGAAAACGCCGTGTAAGAAAAGAGGCAAACTAAAACAATAGGTAGCCGAACGAGGTCTTACAAGCGCAAATGAAACCAATTTGTTCGCCAGTTGTGTCCTTCAAAATAATTTTCCCATCTCAGTTCCATTCTTTTCCACCCCTCAACATCCAAGAAAGACTTGAGTTGGCAATAGAGGCGGCAATAAATATGCTTGTTGTTCAACTTGTATAGTGGAGGACCAAACATCCAAAGAACACAGGTGGTGATAACATCCTGCGTACCATAGCAATTCCGAGAAAGTAAGTGACATGATTTCAAGAGAAAGCACCTGAATAAAGTTCGCATTATTTCGTCTCCCAATCAAACGGACTATGTTGCAGTGCCTGTTACCTGAGTCCCCGCAACATTAGAAAGGCGCCCAAAATCCCCAGCCTAGCCGTTACCTGCACCCAGCTAGCATTACTCTGAAACCGCCCAAGCTGCTTTTTCCAGCACCTCGAGCCACTTGCAGTTGAGCGGCAGTTGTTCACACTGATATGAACAAATACTACACAGGTGTTGCTGGGGCAGCTAGATTTCACACCCCGCCTTGGAAACTGTCGTTTTAAACGGTTTCCACTTCTTTTGACACCTGTTCACACCTGAGGACTCTTGTAAGTCCGTCCTATCTCTTCTATTGGTGTTTCACCATAGGCTGCACTCATCCATCAGCCATCATAGTCCCAGCTTCTTGGCATCGTGCTCGATGTAGCACCATCGCCATCTGCACCAGGATCTCTTCCCTCTCGGCCACCATCAGCCCACTCATCAGGGTCGGATACCTCACCCTGACTGCTTTGAACGTATCTGCGATACCTTTCCTTTGGAATTGCAGTGTCGTCCTCCAGCCAAGCATCATCATCATTTTCATGAACTGCTCCACTGTCAGCAATTTCAGCACTTGCATTGTGAGGATAGCAATGCCTTCCTCAGTTGTAGGCACCATGCCTTCTGGTACTGCTCGGTGAAGACCACTGCTCGAGGCAGGTTATCTCCTTCTCCAAGATCTGGATGTTCACCAGGGCTTGCACCATGCGTCCCATTCTGCAGGCAAATTCTCGGGGCTCGGTGGACTTCACGGTCCTCCATTTCCATGACATTCTCCATGGCATCAATGGTTCTCTCCACGCCAGCACGTACTTCAGCTTCTCCATCTCCATCACCAATTGTTGCATCATCTTCAGCATCTTCTTCTTCGCTGGTCTCCTGATTGTACTAAACCCCACTGAAGGGTACGCTGCGAGCATCAGGTAGGGCATCTTGGACAAAAGGGTCTTCTCAATCTGCCAAATCCATCCCGCTTCTAATTGAACTCCACACGGCTTTGTACTTGGCCATCTCCATGTTGAGCTTGTTGATGTGGTTCACCAGATAGCTCACCAATCCAACCAGCACCAATATTGATAAAGTCCACCACGCTGTTGGTGTCCACGGTGTAGGACTAACCCATAAAACGACATGCTTCACATCCATGTAGGATTGTCACATCCTTGCAAATTCCCAGCAGCCATCATGCCAATCACCAAACGCACAATCTGTTTGACTTTTGCACCTCCGCCAATGATGTTCTCCTCATTGAAAGTTTCACTATCCAGTCCAATCTTCTTCATGAGGTATTCTCGGCGTTCAGTGATAGAGGCTTTGTGTTCAGATCAGCCGGGTTCTATTTTGTGGAGATCCTCTCAACTAGAAACCACTTCTTTTTCATTGCCTGTTGGCTCCACAGAAGTCGTGTTGAAAGATGTTTTGCGCGACCAGGTCCGAATCAGTTGAAGAAACTTTGGGCACTTGTTGAATCCAACCGCAACCTCATCTGAACTTGAGCATTGTTGCTGCCATTGTTGCTGAGTCCACCTTCATCCCCAAGAAGAAATTGAAGCAGTTGCTTCAGCTGGATGCCTTCCACCAACAAACTGGTAGCTGCAAGAATGTCAGCTTCCATGGAAGAAAGTGACACTGACATCTGCGCGCGGCTGTGGCTGCGCACGCAGCAGGAGTTCAGGAAAATCAGTCCTGATGATGTTGATCTCCATTCCAACGGCTCAATGTTGGAGAAAAGAGTTCAGCTCGAAGATAGTGCGTCTTCATGTCCTGGGTCTGAACCAAATAGCTTCCCAGCTTCTTCAATGCACAGAGGGCTATTCTTGTTGGCCGTCCCATGTAGCTCGCAAGAACTCGAACTGCTTGCTGAATGTAAAGACAAATTCCCAATGCAGACCTGAAAGTTTTGGAGTCGTTGGGCTCCAGGTACTCCTCCATTGGGATCACTTCAGCGTTGAACACAGTGAGGGCAGTGTGGTGAGGGACAGGTAGGCCAACTCCTCAGCGCTAACTTCTGGAGGCCCAGTGTCCTCATTGAAAAATCCAGACCTGCCCTTGTCCTCACTGCTGATCTCATAATCTGCAAAGTCGCCCTCCAACAGCCGGTCGTTGACATCCCAATCCCATGTTTCCAAAGGGGTTTCTTCTTCAGATTCATGTTCATCATGAAGTTCAACTTCATCAACAATTCTTCTCACATGACCTGTTGCCGTAGGGGGACTGGATGCAGAAGCAGAGGGGCTCGAAACCAAATCACCAGCAAAAGCAGGGCTAAACATGCCACTTGTTCTTGACTGTTTTGCCTTCTTCTCTTCGGTCTCGGTGTGGTCAAACTTCACAAATTTTGCTTGACCTGGAGGCTGACTGGCTTGGGATCGCTTGACACCTTCTGGATCTGCCAAACGTTGTTTCGAAGCCACAGTAAGCGCCAGGTCAAACTCACGGTCGCGCTTCTCAGCCTCAGGAATCATCTGCTCCATTTCTGCATCGGACATCTCAGGAGGCTTGATGTCGACTGCTTGAAGTTCTTTTGGAGGAACTGCAATCACCTCCTCCTTGTCCTCGTCGGGGTGCTCCTTGGCATACTGCAGCACTGCTTTCTCATCTTCATCTTGTTTGATCTTGTTGAAAATCCTTAAGATCCTTGTTTTGGAACCTGAAGCTGAAACTTTCAAGTACTCGGCTGCTCTTCGAAATTTCTCCACTGAGCTGTTTGCGGTGAGCTCCTCTTCGCCAACAATGGCCTTGTCACGAGCTTCTGCTTCATGTAGGACAGGTGCAAGTTGCTGAAACTCAGGAATGTCACACCCTTGGGTTCCTTCATCAGGGGTATTTCACCAACTTCTGAACCAAGAGGGGTTCCAGGCTCATAAACAACTTCCAATTGTTGTCCACCTTGATCCAACAAACCACCAAATGAAGTGAGGTTCTGGTTCTACTTGGATAGGGTCTTTGGATAGGTCTTTCCTTTCTGCTTGCCTTTGCCCTTTCCTTTGTTGCCACGTCCTTTGCCTCGACCTCGTCCACGACCAGACAAGCCGTAGCTGCCGAAGCTCCACCAACTCTTGCCCTTGGACTGTGACTTGCCTTTTCCTTTGGATCCTTTTCCTTTGCATCCTTTTCCTTTGTCGTTGTAGATGCGGTCCACCTCCGTAGGCAAGGGCCCATTGTTGTTGGAATTATCAGGCACTGAGTTCAAGGATTTCAGAACTGCTTCTGTTGTCCAGCTCTTTGATGCCTTCTCAAATCCAAGCATGGCTTCACGAAGTTGGCTATACCCAGTACTGTACTTTCTTTAACTGTCACCTGCAAATGTTCTCGAAGCTTGGTTCCACTGCACCTGATCAGCCTTGCTGCTTTGAGCTCTTCTGGGCAAACTTGTTCTGACAGTTCTTGAAATTGTTGAACCAGGGGCTCGTACATCAGCACGTTCTCAAGAGCACTCTTCGAACTTGAAAACTTGGGTATGTTGCCAGGGCTTGAGCTGCTGCAAGGCTACGCTGTCGGCTTGAAGGTTCATACTCAGCCAGCAAGGCCGTCCACAAACGAAAACCATCCTTGGTACGAGAAAAACTTCTCACCAAACCAACGCATCTTCCCCTCAATCAGAGGTCAGCACAGCATAGAGCTTCGTTGCAAGGTCCTGCTCGTCAGGGCTGTAGGGCTTCAAATCCTCTCCAGGCTTGAGCTTCTCGATCTCTTCAAAAGCTTTCTGGAAAGGACTGTCTCCAAAAGAAACCCAACTGCAGAATCCAAACTTCCCTGAAGAAAAGGAATGC